GCCCGGTAACCAATTTCCCATCACTTTCCAACTCCATAATTGCCCCTTTTTCCTCTCTCTTTTTCATTTGAGCGAAAAAATAGGCCGAGCACTTCTCCTGTCGCATATGCTCCTCCTGCATAAATTTAAACATTCTTGTTTTCGCTCTATTCTGGAACAAATCCTCCTGTTTCTTCAATAATACATTCAATTCCTCACTCGCTTCCCCGTTTTTGTTGTTATTCCTCTGAGGTTCTATCCCTGCAATCTTTTCCTGGAGCTTCTTGAAAACCTCTTTGGAAGCCTGTGCTCTCTGTGTGCTATAAGCAATTGAAAACGTTTTTATTCTCTTTTTTGTTTCTTCCCACCACCTCACTCTGTCCTCATACAACCCTTTCATTTCCACCCAACTTCCGAAGATTTCTCTAAATCTTTCCCTGTACTCATATTCTGCCAAGACGTCATTATTCAATTTCCAATATGCCTTACCAAAAACTGCTTCTCTGGAAATTACCGTTACCCAAATTGCTTTATGGTCTGTAAAAGGGGCAAAAATTGTCCCCCCTCCCGTTACCTTCTCCTTATCTCCTACTAATATATAATCTAATCTGCTCCTCATTCCTCGACTATTTTCCCATGTATAACCGACCTGTTTGCCTAATATCTTTCCCATAGTATCCGCCAAACTGTACTTTGCCATAAAATCTCTGAGCAGGGACGATCCACCATCCTTGTCTAGCGAGCAATTTAAGTCTCCTCCCACGATAATCACTTTGCTCGTCATAAAACATATATCCAAACCAGCAAAGAGTTCTCTACGGGCCCGTGGTTCTGCGTGTGCATAAATATTAACCACGCGACATTGAAATCCACTACCATCACTCTACCCTGGATTACAGAGAACGTGTCTATGGATGCTTTTCCTCCCACACAAAACTCCCACCCCTGATCCATGTACACTCCCCACGCTCCATGCTGCTTCGCCTCCTACCCACTCCTTCGTGAAGAGCAGAGCGTCGGCCTCGTCTCTTAAGTGGGCTTCCTGGATTAAACATATATCAAAGTCGCAAGTAATTAAAAATTCATACACAGCTCTCCTTTTCTTTGCATTCCTCAGTCCTCTGACATTTAAAGTCATTATTTTCATCTTATCCATTTAATGGTAGGGGCTACTTCCCAAAACTTTCCTGAGAAAATAATGTTCGTATCAGAGAACTTTCAGCGTTACTTTCATTTTCACTCCCATCGTCGGAATCATTTTCACTTATCGTGGTGCTCAAAGGAGTGTGGGTACACTCTGTTTGAGTTCCTTTTGGAGCACGCCTTTCTACCTCCACACCGAAAGGCGCAGTCTCCAATTTTTCCTCATTGCTATCTTCTGGCGGAGTGGCCGAAACCTGCCTTTTCCTTCTTTTCGCCTTCTTCCTTCCTGCTTTCCTAACCTCTCTCCACGGTTGCTCCGTCATGTCCTCACTCGTAGCGAAGGATCCTTCCTTATTCCTGTCCTCTGTATCTAACAAAGGAACCTCTATCATTCTCTCAGAAACTTCTTCTTCCTCGTCAGCCTCATTTCTCTCACCTGCAGGAGTCTCCAGCATTAACAAAGGTGTTCCTAATTTGTCATGTCCAGTTTCCTTCTCTT